ATTTATCTGTTATGCACTACAGACACTCCAGGTAAACCTGAAGTCCTGGATGTAACCAAGAACTCAGTCACTCTGGTTTGGACCCGTCCTAAGAATGATGGAGGTAGCAAGATCATTGGTTACTATGTTGAGGCCCTGCGGGTACCAGGAGACACTTGGATACGCTGCAACACAAGTAGCCAGAATGTGCCTAAGGAGGAGTACACAGTTACTGGCCTGGAGAGAGACTTGCAGTACCAGTTCAGAGTTATTGCTAAAACTGCTGTCAACATGAGCAGTCCCTCAGAACCCACAGACCCTGTCCTCGTGTGTGCTGAAAATGGTTAGAAGTTTTGACAATACCATATAGCCTGATAAACTAGTCAGCCTACTATAATAGTCAGGATAACACCATCTTTCTACGACAGTTTTGAGCTAAGTGTTCATTTACCTCCTTTTCATTAAATATAGTTCCTCCAAGGGTGGAGCTCAATGCCAGGATGCAGAAGGGTTTGAAGGTGAAGGCTGGAACTACAATCCTCCTGGAGGCTGATGTGTTCGGTAAGCCCATGCCCAGAGTGACCTGGAAGAGAGGTGACGACAATCTGAAGTCAGGTGAAGGCCAGGTTATTACCCACCAAAGAAATCACTTTCAGCTGGAAATGACAGGTGTCACCAAGGAGCATACAGGAACATACACCATCTTGGCTGAGAATGCCAGTGGCTCCAAGAGTGCTGAGATCCAGGTCATTGTGCTAGGTAAGATCTTTAACTTTCTATGAGGAAAAAAAATATATGTTGAAACTAAAGATCCAAGTTGGAGTTAGAATGTTTAATATTACATTTTACATTAACTTCAACATGATTTTCACAAATAGCTGATTGGTTTTTTCAGATGTACCTGGTCCTCCTGCAAATTACAAATGTGTTGAGGTGTTTGCCACTAGCATCAAGTTGTCTTGGGAACCTCCTCTTAAGGATGGTGGTGCCCCAGTCACCAACTATATATTGGACAAGCGTGAAACCAGTAGACCTGAATGGGCTCAGGTTGCAGGTAAAATCAAGGGTGACATCCTTGAGTTCACTGTGGCAAAGTTAATTGAAGGTCATGAATACCAGTTCAGAATCCGCGCTGAGAACACGTGGGGAGTTGGAGACCCTCTTATCACCGGCCCTGTCATCGCCAAGAACCCATTCAGTGAGTCATTACTAGAATTTTGTCTGAGTTCATATATCACAGAAAGGATTTATGGTATTGGAGAATTGTAACAATCAATAATTTAAACTAGGTCTAAACCTGTGAGATAAGGAGACAAGTAGCTACATCAAACCAGCTTAACATCATTACAATATTCTGTTATCATATAGAGCTTCTTTTCATAACATTTCCATGTTGAATGGCATATATAAAATTTCATTTAAAAAGAATACCATCTAAAGTCATACCTTTGGTGTCACTTCCAGCTGTCCCTGGCCCCTGTGAAGCCCCGGTGATCACCAATGTCACCAAGGACCGTATGACCGTTAGCTGGAAGGAGCCTGCAGATGATGGAAAGTCCACTATCCTGGGTTACATGTTGGAAAAGAAAGAGACCAAGGAAATGAATTGGACCAAGTTAAATAGGAAGCCACTGACAGAAAGAAGTCTGGAGGTTACAGGCCTCACAGAGGGAGTCGAGTATGAGTTTAGAGTTATTGCTGTCAACGTGGCTGGGCCCAGCAAACCCAGCGAGCCTTCTTCTGGCAATGTTGCACAGAATCCTATTAGTGAGTCGTAACTTCATTAGCTCTGATAACCCTGCATAGATCTTTCTGTGTTACTTGAACTTATATGTACTTAAATGTATATATAACCTAAACTGGGTCAATCTGCTATTTTTTAGCTCCTCCTGGACCTGTTGTGAATCCCAGTGTGACTGACACCACCCACAGCACCATCAGTCTTGCCTGGACTGCCCCCACCAACAATGGTGGAAGCCCCATTATTGGATACTTGGTGGAGTGCAAGAGGACAGACACCAAAGACTGGATCCGCTGTAATGTCCCAAGGAACCTGCAGGAGACCCACTACGTCATTCAAAACCTCATTCATAAGTCAGAATACCAGTGCCGCATCACTGCTGTCAACAAGATTGGCTTTAGTGAACCAGTTGAAGTCCCTGGGAAACATGTTGCCAAGGACATCGTTGGTATGTATTTTCAGGCTGCATATATTTTAATTCTGACAAACAGTGATTAAATGGTAAATGGCCTGTATTTATATAGCGCTTTTCTAGTCCCTAAGGACCCCAAAGCGCTTTACACAACCAGTTATCCACCCATTCACACACTGGTGATGGCAGCTACATTGTAGCCACAGCCACCCTGGGGCGCACTGACTGACTGTTGCACTGACAGAGGCGAGGCTGCCGGACTTGTGATGTACTTGTGATGGAGCATTGTCCTGCATGAAAATCATGTTTTTCTTGAAGGATGCAGACTTCTTCCTGTACCACTGCTTGAAGAAGGTGTCTTCCAGAAA